ATAAATGTATGATATTGGAATAGTGTACTGAAGAAAAGAGTACTTTAACAATTAATATTAGTGACGAGATTTTAATATTTTAGAGTACTGTCTCCAATGGATTTTGTCGACATTCGATAAGCACTACTGGAAAAAAAAGAATTGATCTGCCTTGAATTAAGGATAAGTATTCAGTGAATACCTGGTAAAAGTTTATGCGTCGAGCATTGATTCAATGAATGATGAATTCTTCTATTACTGGTGTCAATAATAAATTCATTGGTAATAAATGATTAAGAAAAAAACATCGATTAGAGAAATATCTTAAGATTTTTAATAAGTTTCAGTCATTCTTTCGATTAATATCAATATCAATAAATAAAGAGTAACTATATCATTAATTTCATAAATATTTTTCTAGTTCGTTGAATAATTCTATAATCATTTATTGTAGAGTATATTAACTCCTATAGTGTCAAGAATAAAAAGGTGTTATATTTCTTTTATAAGTTGTTAATAGATTGTCTAGATTTAGTGAAGGAAAAAAACTTGAAATTACTTTGAACTTGCTTTGTCTTCGATTTGTCTGTCTGTCTGTCATTCATACTAAACCGGAGATGACACTTCCCTCTTATGTCACGTACTTTGTTCATTAATCTTTGTCATAAATAGTTACAAGTCAATTATACATGGTAACAAGAAAATCGATTCATTAACCAAGATATCATTAAAAAACTATTGAAATCTATTATATATCAAATTTCTTAATTGATTTAAAGTTTGTTTTTTTTATCAAAGAAAAGTGAATTCATCTCAGACGATAATTGCTTGAAGACAAGGACTATGTGACAATAGCATAACATATATGTTTATATATATATATATATACACATAAACAAAAAAGTGTTTAAGATTGTTTCTTCGAGGTAAAAATGACTGTGCACTTGTGGCGGTCAGCTGTCGCATTGCATCACCTGCATACATTAGATACACATATGTATATATTTAAAGAGCTCAAATATAACAGTTAGTAGACTGTTATTGGCATTATTTAATAGCTACATTTTCTACATACATAGAATAAAAGAAAGAGAGAGAAAGAAAAAAAAAAAAGAAAGTTCTTTGTTGTTATATTTTGAAACAGGCAAAGAAAATAATTAGAGCGGCACATCATGAAGAAAAAAAGAAGAAGAAAGCTTTTAGCTTTTTATTGAATGATATCTATTATTCATTCATTGAATTGAGATAGAAAGAGTCACAAATACAATCATTACATATATATATAACAACATCTCATCCAGATGCGTTGTTAGGTCCTCAATAGAGTTGAACAAACAAGCAAATATTCGATTAGAAAAGAACAGGTGGTGAAGAACAATTAGACTTTCATTCTCTTTTGGATATATATATATATATGTGGGTGTTGTTATTGCATCATATTGTCTCGCACGCGTTCGTATAGATCCCTGTATAGTATATGTCTGTATGGTGCCTTAAGTGGGCTCTCTTTGCTGTGAAGAGTAAGAGCTCAACCATTAGTCCAATACTGTCCTTGTATTACTATTCTATGGTGATGAGTGACACATTGACACTTGCACTATTCATATTCATTCATTCATTCATTCATTTAGTTACTTATTCGTTCTATCCAGTTTTCAATTGAGCATATCTGGCATGAGCATGTAAAAGAATAACATTTTGTCGAACATACATACATTCAAATAGATTATCGTCAGGCGTCTCGTCCCATTTTTCAACTAGTATATATATGTATATATACATACTTACATGAGAGGCAACTAAGATAGATATTGTTTATAGTAAGTGAATGTTCGTATGCATGCAGGTATTAATTCATTTATTCATTAGCTTAGACAGAACTTATAGTGAATGTATGAATAACAACAGTAGCTGTATTGTCCCGCCTGTTTTTTTCTTGATGAACAACATTGGTTGTCATTGAGATCATTAGTATATCTACATATATGAATTTCTTCTTTGCTTATTAAAAAGAAAAAGAGATTCAAGATAGATCTAACTAGCTCTGATTTCATCAAAAAAAAGGAAACATAATCATACACACACACACACACATATATATATATATGTGTATAAAGACTAGTAAAATCGTCTTATGTCACAAGATTTAAAGAATATGGATTTGATTCACTTTTCTCAATTAGTTATGACCATGTAAGATGGCTTTCCCTTCTTTCTCTATATGTACAAGAAGCGAGAAAGAAAGATTAGGAGAGAAGGAAGAGTAAGTGTTATTTTTTTCGGGAATAAGGCATACACTCGTTCTCTCCTTCTTCTTATTCTCTCGTCATCTCTTGCTTCGTTTCTTCAATTGTTCAACAGACGAACGACTTCACACACGCACACACACATATAGACATATATTCTTTCATTTTTTTTTTCTATACCGTAGCGTGGCATATGACAATTTATTAATCAGTGAACGACAGCAACAAAATTAAAGAAAAAAAGAAAACAAATTTATCAATTCTTCGTTTTTTTTTATTTTACATCTCATCGTCTCGACATACTTGTTCATATAACAAATATATCTATATCTTTTCTACACAAAATATTTTGATATGCCACCATGAACACACTTGACAATTTATTATCATGACTATTCAACTGTTTTTACTTATCATTACCATTACCGGTAGATATACATGTGTTATTTTATTTTAGTTTTTGTTTTTGATCATTTTCATATCTATGGCATTTTCATCGTTCATTAAATATGCATGACTTTTTGAGATAGAAAAACTATGGATGTGTACATATCTAATATAAACAAAAATCATTCAATTAAAGACACTTTTTTTATTCTTCTATTTGATTGCGCGTGCTTTACCCGTTAAGTCAAGGTAGGCATAGCTAATTAATCCCCCGTGTGTAAAACAACAATATTTACGTGGCAAGAAAGAAAGAAGAAATCTTTTCCATTGTTGTTTGCCGAAGGCCGTATGCATCCGAAAAAAAATGTTAAGATAACAGTACGGTGCCTTAGTCACTATAGAAATTGATTTCTATATATTGTTGCTCATTTTGTTTTACTCGATCAAGGAATCCATATTGAGCATTACAATTGAAAGAACAGTTGGACAAGATGAAAGAATTCTTTTATTAATATGATAGTCGCAAGACATCAAATCATAATAGACCCCGCCCTATGAATGATCATTAAATTGAACAGCAGGAGAAGATATATATATATATATATATATTATAAATAGAAAAATGTATTAAAAAATCTTTTCTTTTTTTTGTTCGTTCTTTTAAATATTTGATTTAATATTTCAAGGTATTGTGAGTTCGTCAAACATCCGGTATATAAGTGGAGAACTTGATTCCGCTATCTCATTTCGATGTGAAATTGCTCAATTACCATTCAATGCCGTTGTATGTCTTCTTCGATTTTTAAAAAAAAATCTTTCATCTCTATTTGAATACAATAATTTTCAGATAACTTGGGTATATCGACCAAAAATTCCTACAGTAAATGGTATAAAATGGTTACCATTATATGCAAATGCACGTCGTTTAACACAAAATAATCGACGTTTTATAGTTGATTATAGTGGTTATAATGTTCAAACACACACACATTTATCAATATTAACAATAAATCAATTAAATTTATCTGATGAAGGAATTTATATGTGTAAATCAAATCAACATCAATCAATAGCAAATATTTATAATTTAACTGTAACTGGTAAGAGAAAATTTTTCTTTTCTTAAAAAACAAAAAAGAAACGAAAATAACTTTATTTTTATTTTTATTTTTATTTTTTTTATTAAAGCTTCAATGAAAATTTTTCCAAATGATGGAATTATTGAATTAAATCCTTATCAACGATCAATTAATTTATCATGTACAGTACGAGAATTATCAACAAATATAATTGATCCATTAAAAATAAAATGGTATCATAATAAACATCATATAAATCAACATAAAACATCACATTTAATTAATAAATATCCACATAATAATCAAGCTACATTAATATTAAATATACATAATTTATCATTAAATGATTCAGGATTATTTGAATGTATTTATAATAATGATATAATAGGCAAAGGTGTTCAAATATTTTATACTTCTTCGGGTAATACAATTTTTTTTTTTGTCTTTGATATTTATTAATAACTATATATATATATATATGTATGTATGTTCTAGTGCTTGGATATTCTAAATCTATAAGTCGAAAATTAATATCTTCTTCATGGATATTATTAGTTTATAATATGATCATCATATTTATTACAACATGATAAACAAATTATCTTTTCTATTTTATCGTATTTTTCTTTTCTTTTTCTCGTTTTCTGTTTTTTTTTCTTTTGATGCATGTGTGTCGCACAGTGTTTGTTATCTTGTTTGCTTTTCTTTTTTTTTTTTTTTTTTTCTTTCTGTTCATCGATCCAAATTATAAATGAAGATGACAGTAGACTATCTCAATATTAGACCTTGTCATTGAAACTAGTTGTAAGCATATTCACATGAGAATATCGAAAAGGGAAAAGTCAAACAGTGAATTTTTTTACATATCGATAAAAATTTCTATCACCATATATTGCCCTTGAAAATATGTCGTTCGACATATTTCCAATTACAGTTATATTAGAAAAAAAAGAAAGAAGAGGAAATGTGAAGTAAAAAATTGATGACAAATATTGAACAAAAGCAAGAGTGCAACAATTTTCTTCGTCATCACTGTTTGAATTTCTTATGTTACACTTACTTACTTATTATTACATCATCATCATCATCATCAGTATATCTAAAAATAATCATCTTTCTTCTTCTCATTCTGTCTTACATTGCTCATCCGGGAAATAGGCTAAGAACGGATTAGTAGTTGTAGTACCACTGGCAATTGATACATTCTAAAAATGAATTCATTATCAAGCCACAAGGACAGAATTTGTTTCCTAATACACCAGAGTTTAACGCAGTACTTATTAAAAAGAATGCTAAATACAATTTATTATTACAAATCAAAACTTTGTTCATCATCATCATCATTATCAAAATGTCTCGAACGAACACGTTCACGTAACAATTCTACATCACAAACATATTCAGATGGAACTTTTGAACATACTAAGTCATTTGATATAACTGTTACAAGTTTATTTTTATTCCACATTGATAATTCATTTCTTGTTCCATATAAGATAACAAAACTACCTTGTTGCATTGAAAAATGGCAACCACATTTACATTCATAATTGTTAAGAACAAGTAGTAATCGATAATGATGACATAATTTAGCAAAATATTGTTTTCGAATAATTGAATCTGATAGTTTTGTTTGAATAGGTAAAGAAAGTGGAGATGATACTGAAGAAAGACAAGTACGAAAAAGATGACGACATTTAGACAAAGATTTATTATTTGATAGAAGTTGTGATCGACGCCGTGGTGGAGGAGGAGGAGG